TGGATAGAGTAGTGAGAGCGAGTGTGATAATTGAAGTTGATCACATGCAGTAAGGTAGGACACAGAGGCTCGGAGAGCAGCAAGCCGAACCTGAGCACCATCCATGAATGCCAATTAATTCGACTGGAGGACCACGTACCTCAACACTTTGAGAGTCTTGGAGACCTTTCCGAAAAACTGTCAGGACAGCATCTGTCTGGAGATCCATTACGAGATTGGGACAACCAGAAAACAGCCTATAAGCGCATTCTCGGAAGCCAGCTTCACCTGTCTGCGTCATAGTAAATGTTTGTGCCTGTAGTGCGTGCCAAGGGCGCCCTCGAGACATAGAATTGTTTGCTAGATCGCAGACTGTATCGACTGTCTTCCTGCGAACAGCATCTAATGGCTCGTGGGACAGAGAGTGGAGTAGTAGACGCTCGAGAGTTGTCAACGCATGCGCCGGGAGTTGATCGTAAAGCGTTAGACGTCCTTCTCTGGGCTGCTGACCCGGTGCAGCGCGAAAGAGAAGTCTACGAAGTAAGACCAGAGAGAAGGATCGCATCTACGCTTTATTGAGTGAGGGCAGCGGTATTGAGACATAATACACAACAACTTGCCACTTCGGTATCAGCTGCAATAGAGAACTGAGCCAATGCGAGCAGGTATAGGTCTGGTGTCTGAGCCAGTCTATCATTAACCGCCTGTTCTGCACTGCAAGTCTCTCAGTATGAGTCGCGCTTATTGAAAAAGATCGCGCACTTGGAACGTATCTTGTTATCACCAAGCACAAGATTGGCAAGTATTTGTGTGAGCTCTGTCGTGATTTCGTGAGGAACGACAGCCTCCATGGTGCTGAATTTGTAGGAAATTGATATCGAGGGTCCAGGAGTGACAGCAAAAAGGAAAATGATCCTAGGATATAGGCTGTTCAAATAGGCGATTCCAGTTGTTTGATAAAGCTGTTCACTGCTAGTGATCTGCAATGGAGAAGTGATGCCTGTTAAAACGGTGATCAGCACTGAGCAGATAGACTCGACGAGTCTTTCAATTATCATAAGTTTAAGCTCAGCGGCTTTTTTACCATCTTCATTCCGAACGACGATCTGCGGCTAGAGCTTTGCTCCACAATTTCTCGAATACACGCGAAGTTCCTATGGCATGACTGACAACAACGAACGCTCTCGATTCTCCATCAAGTTCGCATCTACGAGCTTTCCTTCTTAAAGGTGATAACTCCGACGTAATCACCTGGGATGCCGATCACATCTCAAACCCGAGTTCACATGATCAAACGTCCTGTTGATGGCCACGTCCGAATCACTTAGTGGCGTGTTTTCCAATACCAGTCCGGTTCCGACGTAACCTCCGAGATTTGAGTGCATGCTGAAGTTAAGCGAATTGGGTCAGAGACAACTATGAGCAGCCTGATAGTTGAAGGTACCATCTACTTTAATGATTTTAGACAGCATTTTGTTGATGTGTGTATCGGCAGTGAACATCTTCCGAAGACGAGTCCCATGGCTCCCGACTTGGTCTGGTGTACCCTAGCCAGATCATACAGAAGGAAGACAGGCATCCCTTCTCGATTGACTTTGTCCGAAACGTTAAGAAACCTGCTCTTTCAGTTGGTGCATATCGGCGTGTAGGTGTTTAGTTGTTACCCCTCTCTTGTACTTCTCAGACAAAGTTGGTATGCCACTTTGTCCGACAACAAAGACATGCTTATTTAGGTGCAGGCAGAGGACAAATGCCATCATAAAGGAAAGATCATCCATCCCAATCGACATCATCGTCTGATGCTCGCAGAAGGATATTGTCCTTCAGACCTCTACCACGCGACTGGTTATTCTCCCAGTGTCCGACACAATATAGTAATTGACCCCTAGTAGTCTTGCCCACAACATGCACTTTATTTAATGTTTGAAGCATGGATCCACAAGCACATACAACTTAAACTACACAGCAGGCTACCTAATCTCCATCATTTGGACGCACTATAACTTTGCTCTGTCGAGAATTTCGCAGGGCTCGTCTAGTCAGTCCTCTTCAACTGAATCCGGTTCTACCAAATCACTGGCCTTGCCGCTCTTCGACGAAGGTCGCTTTTCATCCTTCTCGTCACTGACTTTGAGACCCTGCTCTAGATTCTTTGTGATCATTTCCACCTCGTCCTCCGTCGATTCCTCCGGTTTTGGTTCTAGTTCTGGCTCTTTCTCGCCAGCCTCCAAGCTCTCCTTCGTCTTCTCCCAAGCGGCATCGAGCTCCTCCTCCCATTCAAGTTCTTTGCATAGCTCCCGCACAATATCGTCGCACTTTCCGAGGAATAACACATCGTCTGGTTTGTCAAAGTTGCCAACCTCATCGAGATTGATCAGCACTCGAGGGCAGTCATTCGGCACAAGGTCCACGAGAGAGGCAAATGGGTGCACGGTCAGCGATGTTCCTAATACGATCAATAAATCCGCTTCTCGCAGATTACGGATAGATCTGTGAAACTGATCGGGAAGCTGCTCCAAAAATCAGCCATGCCGTATGATTTTGTGAGGCTCAAACATACCCCTTCACCGAAGAAGACGATATCAGGTTTCACCAGGCCCTTGCACCTCCTCCGTTCACACCTCGGAATCTCTATCTCCTCGCTCAACACCGCCTTCTTTATCTTCTCTGCATCAAAGGGTGTTTTACAATCAATGCACCGCTGGGTGGCGAAGCTTCCATGTGCTTCGATGATCTTATGCGCGGGCACTCCTGCGCGCCGCTCGAGCGTGTCTATGTTCTGAGTGAAACATGTGTGCAACAGGGAATGCGAATGAAGGAGTGTTATAAAGCTGTGTGTGGGCGTAGGTCGGAAGCGCCCTGGATATAGTTCCTTGGCTAATGTATAGACTAATAAACATATTTCAGTTCCTTTCTTCGCTCGGACGGACGGACGCACATGGTATCGGGTTTTTTTTAAAGAACCCTATCTCGAATACCGCCTCCGGGAATGGAAGATTCAACCGTGCGAGGTTGGCCTGTACAATATCATATTAATGTTCCTCACTTGCAGCGCCGCACTACACACAGCACACTTACGTATAATCCTAGGTCACACGCTGATCTGCATCTCAGAACCAGATGCTATGTATGACTTACCTGTACCAGGTGATCTGAAGTCCGGTATACCGGCAGATGTACTCACACCTGATAGCATACGTAAGAAAATGTAATGTGGCACTAGCAATTGTAGCCTTACCAGCCCCAAGCTAGTTTCGTCATAATATCGGCATTAGAATAATTCAAATCTTGAAGTGATAAAGGAACTCACCATAAGGAAAACATTCCGACAGCTATCCGACTTCATATATTTCGCAAGTGCCTTGAGGTCATTGCCCTCTAAGATCCTTGGGTGCTGATCTGTAGCGTAACCGGGTTTGGTCATGCTGCCCCTGAAAGTACGATCCCACCAGTCATACAGTGAGTGCATCCTCGCAAGTAGAGAATAATTACCTAAATACTGCTCAGTGAAGAATACGGGAAGAACGAAAGAAGGAGACAAAGGACGTTGCACGGTGCTCTCACTGAATTCCTACTCCGTGCACGTGAGCTAGATAAAAATGGGCAGGGCAGTGCTACTTAATACAAACATACTAATATACGACAAACATGATAGGACAAATATTGTACAAGATGTCGATGAAACCATAGGAGAGATAATCATTAGAAAATTCATCAGAGGCAAAGGACAGTCATGTGCTATCAGTCTCCGAGTCCAAAGCATGCTCCTATCTCTCCGTGTTTGCCGCCCATCCATCTTCTTCGTCCTGCACGGATTCATCAAAACGAACGGGTTCAAGAATCAAAAGTCACGACGTACCTCTAATGAATAATCCTCATCCCCGTCCTCATCCAGAGGATCCCATGGTACATGCACGTCTACCCAGCTACCAAGAGCAACATTTCAGATGGAGCGCCTGGAGAGAACAAAACCCATGATACTGACAAGTCATCACCTTCGGGATCAGGTACAGGAGAGTCTCGCATGAGACGTCGTATCAATGGCAACTTACGTTTGAGCCCATACAGTGGCGTGAACATATAGTCCTTGTTATGCCCCTTCCGCAGCAGGCTCACATTCGTATCCGACCACCACTGCGAGGGCTCATTTGCATTCCCGTTGGAAGTAAGTGCCAAGGAAATCTTCTCTCCACCTGATTACTGTAATGAGCAGGACCATGAGAACATAGAGTGTGGAAACATACTTTTGTCCGAAAGGTATATGGTGTAGGCGGGACATTTGAAGATAGAGTTGACGATGTGCATGTCTTTGAGCTCTGGGACCTTGTACAGCGTCTCCAAAACCCTGCCGCGCGGAAGGTATTCTTGTCTCGGATTGTGCATGATCAGGAGGGCACCACGCTTGCCGCGCTGAAACTGCCACTCTCCTTTGATAGAGGCTTGAGCGAGACCAGCGACATTTCTATCAAATCATCAATCAGTCTGGGTCCTCGCTCGCATAGTAGACCGCACGCAGAACACACATCTCTCCATCATTCTTGAGATCATTCTTCCGGACACCCATTGTACACACTATAAAGTCGCCCTCCACGGCACCAATCTGAGGACGGTAATCTGCTAGCTTCAGTTGCCCATCCACCTTATCCAGCAAGACCTGGAATTCCGGATCATAGATATTGCCTTCAATATCCAATTCGCCCGTCTCTGTATTCAGCCTGCCATATGCACCGACCTGCATGAGAACTTATAAACTGCAGCCATGAAATTGACGAGAAACGAGTCACGTACTGGTATGGGTATAGGTGGATCCCAGTTGGCCCACTTCGCTGTGGATTGTCTGATGAGATCAACGAACTTCCGAGCTGCGTTTCCCATCAATATGGTGCAGTGAGTAGTTCAGTACTAAACAAGAATTGCTGCCTAGTACTGGGGGTGGCAGTCATATATAGACTTGTCACATGAAGAAATGATATCCTGTGCTTGCGATCGTGGGCCGCCGTGTGCATCGCAATTTGCAAGATTACGACACGAACAAATACTAGGCACTGCATAAATAGTCTTGTACTCGAACATCCACTACACAAGTAATTATACATCTCATATGGCAACGTCAACCTAATATAACAAGAAGACAAGGTCCCAACAAGTCATCACTCATCGTCACTGTCGTCTGAAATAGGGAATGGCACAAATACAGAGTCTCTTCGCGGGTTGTATACGTTCGGGTCATCCTTGGTACACAGCGTTGGTCTCCGATGTCTGTTGCGAGAAACTCTAAGCACACACCTCTTGATTATCATCATATACTGGATCGATCTCTCCATCATCATCGAGTGGCTCCCAAGGCGGGTAAACATCCATCCAACTTTTGTCCGCTTAGCAATGCGGTCGAAGAATAACAAGAGACCTACAAGTCGGCATCCTCAGGGTCTGGAGTAGGTGAGTCGCGCATCAGAGGACGAATCAAGGGAATCTTGCGCTTGCAGGTGAAAAGCGGCGAGAACACGTAGTCTTTATCCGTCCTGGTTTGAAGGTTTTCTATCTTCGAATCAGTCCACCATTTGAGCTGCGTCTCGTTCTCTTTTCCAGATTTCGGGAGGAGAGCCAACGAAATCTTTTCTCCGGCTTGTCATTTCCCTTAGATTTGAGTTGTACATCAAACGATAGGAATAGACACACCCTTCTCGGACAAAAAGGTAGCATATGCGCGACACTTGTACACCGATGGGACGACGTACTTGTCCTTGAGCTCTGGAACCTTGTAGATAGCTTCAAATACCTTTCCTTTAGGAAAATGCTCTAGACGGGGTTTGTACATCACAAGCATGGCGCCTCGTTTTCCCTGCAGAAACTGCCAGTCTCCTTTATAATTTGCTTTGTCGATGCCCTCGGTACTATCGTAGTAGAAATGAGGGAAGCCCTCAAGGGTTGACTATGTCAAAAACTCACACGTTTGATGCAAGACTAAATTCCTTAGGCCTGACGCCCATAGATCCGACAGCAAAGTCTTTCTCCTCGTCGTCGAGCACGGGCAGATGATCAGAAAGCTTTATCTTTCCATCGGTGGCGTCAAGCATCTTCTGAAACTCGGGATCGTACACGTTTCCTTCAACATCGAACCTGCCTGTCTGGGCGTTGAACAGACCATACGAACCGACCTAGATCATACCAGTCGGCATTAAGACAACGTCTCGTAAAGAGTCATATTGAACTGACTCTGATGTCCTGTGTTTCGGGAGACAAGTTCGCCCACTTTGAAGTGCGTTGGCGTATAAGATCTACGTATTTGAGGTTGGTGTTCACCATCGTGGTAGAGGGCAACTTGAAGGAGTGAAAGGCGCGCAGTGGCGTTAACCTGAATATGAACCTAGATCTATATAAGTAGCGTGAGCATAGGTAAATATCAACATCGACAAGTAATATCTGGAGTCGTATCGCAAATGAATTTATAGATAGGATGCTGTAGTACGACCACCTACTATGTAACTGAGAGACCGCAGCACAATGAGAGCGGTGTGCACTGTGGACACTCTAACAATTGCAAGGATTCAAAGTGACTAGTAACAATGCATTTTAGACGAATCAGTACGAAATAGTATGTACTGATAGAACGCACATTAAAATCTAGATACGGCGCATCCCCGGCACCTCCAACAGGGGACAGGTAGACTCGACTTCCGAATCTTCGCCCCATACTACTTGACATGTATAACTTATTGTTATCGATTGGCAGTCGTTCATCAGCAGTTTCGAATCGATGGAAAAATCGTGCCAGCAGTATTGAGAACACCTTGCTCCAGTCGGCGGCCCAAGTGGACGAGGAAATGCCATGCTGCGAGGTCCTTGACCCATGACCAGGCTTGCAAAAATTAGCTCTAAGTACAGCGGGAGTACGAAGCAGACGACGAGTGGTGTAACCATCTGGCAACATCACGACTTGTTGATGGCGTTTTTTTGTCGATTTCGGCTTTCGCACTGGCATTGCTCAAATATTGTAACACATCCTTTGGCCGCAAATGCTACTATCGGAGCAGATTCAAAATTATCATACATGTAAAACGAATGGGCCTAAATTTAGTGTACATATATCATACTAGCAAGTAACATATCGCGATCTAGGCAGGACGTTTCCTCTTATGACTGGACGCAGTCAAATGTCAGTTTTGTGGGGGAATCCATGTAGAATGCTTCCCCCGCCATGGTCGTGACACAATGAGTCACTACCATGCTAATGCGTGAAAACGCGCATTAACTGGCAAAAGATGAACGCACAGTATCCATATCTGTAACGAATGATTAATACTAGGTAACAGACAAGGAGACATGAACAGAGAATACAAACATTGTACAGGCGGTAGTTGGCCTCGTCGCGAATCTCATCGCGAAAGAGATAGTAGCGAATGCCGGCCCAAGAACCCATAGAAACAAAAAGAAGACTGGAGAGAGGCCCCAAACTCCAAACTGAGGCAAGCGCAAAAGAAATTAGCGGGAGTGCACAAAGCATATAGATACGAGATCCTTCGGGCGCTATGATCGGCAGAGTTCGTCGTCCTGACCTGCGATCACCGTTGACGTCGGCAAAATCCTGCGCTTGGACTGTCAGAAGTACGACAAGCGTGCTGCAGGAAAGTGCCTTTATGCTTGTTCCGTCGAGTGCAAATTCCCTTGCTAGAATATAGATATTGTCAACGAAATACTATCCCTCAGATGAAGGATACCTACACAGAATCAACAAAGAAGCGAATTCAACTATCACATAACCTCCTGTGCTGCACAAATTCTTGAAAACGGGATGGTCACTGAGACGAAGATCATCGTTCATGATGATAAATACAGTGGCCATCACGCTGGTTATAACGACATTTGAGCCGAAAAGAGATGAAAGGCCTAAGCAGAACACCATGAGTGCCCAGCGCAATGTGCGAGCATCCTTGACGCTGATGCGCCCGGACGGTACAGGACGCCATGGTTTGTTCAAGACATCTTCATGGGCAGAATAGGACTGATTAGACACGTTGAATTGAAAGACATGGAACCAGAGCCAGCAGAAAGTACAAAATAGAGCTGGCATGTCGTAGTGAGGAGATACCACAGTTCCGAACATCATCTACCGCAAAAAATTAGCATTGTGCAGTGATAGTTATTGCCGAAATAGATACCGCGGGGAAAATCATTGTCTTGAAGTCAGATCTCGTGAAAAGCCAAGCAGTCCCGAGGTGACGCAGAGCATGGTGCATAGTTGTTGCTGCGAAGTGGGACATGAGTAATTTGGAGTCTTTTTGCTGTCCAGCATTATATAGTTCGACGGCCAGGCTGAATTCTCGGTTCCAGTGGTGTCATTTCACATGAGCGGTAATCATTTCGCCTAAGTTTTGCTCTGACCTTGCTGTCACTCGCCAAGGGAGTTGTACCTGAGATCCCATGGTCAAAGTATTTCGGAATAGGAAAGGCGGAATAGAGCAGGGCCGGAACCGGGTAAGGCTGCGAGCTTTGGCTGTCAGTCAGGAGCAAGGGAATGCTCACGCTGAAGCCAAGTCCGAGTCGAACCTCACTGTAGAACTTGTAGTGCCATTGTAATGGTGGGTCCATGTAAATTGGCATCACTGATTGGGCTACAGACTCGAGGGCGGTGTTCCAAACTCGATTCTGATCGTCCGGATGACGAAAGTGACAGGGCAATGTCGCTTGAAGACGGTATGTAATATACTCAGGATTATTTGGCCGTCATCATTCAAGAAACATTTACGCATCCACACCACTCACAGTAGTGACAGCATTGGTATGCATCGCATTGAGCATACACGGGACTAAGAGGAGATGGCAGTCGTGAACCTAGATGAGGTTGCCTGGGAGATGCGGTTGCGGATGCTTGATCGGTTACTGTGGGTTGGATGAGGGTTGGGTGAGATAGCTAAATGTATGAGTGTAGGATATGCGGGTATGGTATATAGATGCACGGTAAGCTGAATAGATACACGTCAATATCATCAGATTAAACATGCTTGGACAAAGTATGAAATGAATGAACGTACCTGCCACTCATAGTACTCATGATTAGCATCTGCGTTTGCATGTTCCGTCGCTGGGAATCCCTGAACCCCACCGAGTATGCAGTACTAGTACACGCTACGAATCTTTACAGGAAGTTGACAGGAAGGAAGTTCTTGTGGTTCCTTGACTTGGTTATTTTTACTACCGAGGATAATTATAGAAACCTCCTTCTTTCCCGTGCTTCTGGTGCCTTCTTCGGTATATGCCGGCCTCTCGCACCCTCCCCAATTGGCTCCCAGTGCATGCGTCTACATCCCACATCCAGCTGCAGCTGGCTGGAGCACCTTCCCCCTTCAAATTGGAGTCACTCTCTTGCCATAACGCACCTGTTCTAGCATCTTCTTGGGACTGGCACCCTTCAAGCCTCGGCCACTGGTAAGCGCTGCTCTTCCAGCTCTCCCTCAGGCTCGCTTTCACGGTTTCACCCACCCTCCTGCAGGATTGTAATGTTAAAACACAACGAATGATGAAAGTGATGACTCTTCCCCCTTTGTTTTTGCTTTATCATTTTTGTATCATGGAGAGCGATATTGCTGTCCTAGACCTGCGGTGTGCGTTCTGGTGTGTAGGTTTTAAAACTTTGTATGTATCTTTAAACATATCTCACAATTGACACAACGCCGTTGACACATCAAGTAGTCTATGTAGTGGGATATTGATCATTGTCCATCCTAGTGATATGTACCCACCACAGTTCCACGCCTGCAACATTTGTTCATTTGTTTTCATGTACTGCTATCACCGTGACATTAATCCTCGAGCATCCTCAACACCACCACCATATGCATTGCAACATGCAAGGTAATCAAATGTTTTTGTTCAAATTACAATCTCCGTTTATCCTACCGTTCGGATGCGTCTGAACCGGTTCTTGCGACTTGAAGCTCCCGAAGGTGGAACTGTGGACCCCGAGGAAATAATAATAATATCATTCAGAGCTTGTATCACACCTAGGGTATTTCTTGGAATGCAATACTTGGGCGACAAACGATGAACGATTTTGAATTAGCTGACTACATTACAGTAATAATCGGACCATCTCGACATATCATACTAATAAACAACATATCACGATCTAGGTAGGACGTTTCCTCTTATGACTACACGCAGTCAAATGACAGCCTTGTGAGGGTAGCTATGTAACTTCCCCCACCATGATCATGACGCAACGAGTCACTACCATGCTAATGCACGAAAACGTACAGTAGCTGGCAAAAGATGAACGCACAATATCCATATCTGTAGATAATGATTAATGCCAGGTAACAGACAAGGAGACATGAACAGAGAATACAAACGTTGTACAGGCGGTAGTTGGTCTGGTCACAAATCTCGTCGCGAAAGAGATAGTAGCGAATGCCAACCCAAGAACCCATAGAAACAAAAAGAAGACTGGAGAGAGGCCCCAAACTCCAAACTGAGGCAAGTGCAAAAGAAAATAGCGGGAGTGCACAAAGCATATAGATACGAGATCCTTCGGGCGCTATGATCGGCAGGGTTCGTCGTCCTGACTTGCGATCACCGTTGACGTCGGCAAAATCCTGCGCTTGGACTGTCAGAAGTACGACAAGCGTACTGCAGACAAGTGCCTTTATGCTCGTTCCGTCGAGTGAAGATTCCCTTGCTAGCATATAGACCTTGTCAATGAAATAATATCCCTCAGATGAAGAATACCTACACAGAATCAACAAAGAAGCGAGTTCAACTATCACATAACCTCCTGTGCTGCACAAATTCTTGAAAACGGGATGGTCACTCAGACGAAGATCATCGTTCACGATGATAAGGACAGTGGCCATCGCGCTGGTTATAACGACATTTAAGCCGAAAAGAGATGAAAGGCCTAAGCAAAACAACATGAGTGCCCAGCGCAATTCGCGAGCATCCTTGACGCTGATGCGCCCGGATGGCACAGGACGCCATGGTTTGTTCAAGACATCTTCATGGGAAGAATAGGATTGATTAGACACGTTGAATTGAAAGACATGGAACCAGAGCCAGCAGAAAGTATAAAATAGAGCTGGCATGTCGCAGTGAGGAGATACAGCAGTTGCAAACATCATCTACCGCCAAAAAATCAGCGTCGTGCAGTGATAGTTATTGCCGAAATAGATACCGCGGGGAAAATCATTGTCTTGAAGTCAGATCTCGTGAAAAGCCAAGCAGTCTCGAAGTGACGCAGAGCATGGTGCACTAGTTGTTGCTGCGAAGTAAGACATGAGTGATTTGGAGTATTTTACTGTCCAGCATCATTATATAGTTCGAAAGGACAGCCAAGCTGAATTTCTCGGTTCCAGTCATTTGATTTCCCATGAACGGAGACAGGCAGGCATGGATGACCCGAAGTTTATCACCAGTGTCGTATTGCATGCTGTGTTTGCAGTCATACTAGCCTCGTTTGAAAGTTTTCATTTGGAAGGATATTACTGTTACGGTTAAGTTACGTGTAGAAACTAGAGTAATCACAGTCAGCGATATGCGAGTGACAACGATAATATACCTCAACATGGCGGGAGAACAACGTTGTTTGTTTTGATGATGCAATTGCTTCGACTCCTCAAGGCGCCGCTCTCGGTAAAGTGGCGCAAATGAAATTCGGGTCCATTCAGAGGTGGCCCCGGGAGCTGTGCACGGGTGTCAGCCTCAATAGCCACTCCGATATTGTTTGTGGCGAATGTACCACAGAAGACAAGCTTACGAAAGGCACAGCGCGGAGCGAGATGGTATTCGGATGGACGCTAGTTCGATTGCAACTGGAACATATAAATGAACATTTCGATGTGCGCCGAGTCTAGATGATGAATGTTTTGCTATACCAACCGACAGGCACTTGCACTACTGAAAGTTGATTAAGTTCTGTGAATAAGGTTTCTTCCACATCATTGGTAGATCACTGCCAGATAGCTACAGTGGAGGATGACATACTCAGTGTCCGGGTGTCCCGGGTGTTCGAGTGTCCGACTCAGAGTTCGAGCGCAAAAAGGTTACATTAGTGAGGATGGTTAGCATGATTCGTTTCACAAAATACCTGATTTGGGCTTATCTTGGTACATGTGATGATACAGAGACGCTCGAGAACCCATACAGCTTTAAAAAAGTTCCTGATTTGCGCAACGTGTTTGTATGTATTTGGTGAGTGGGCCGCCGGTACTGCTCTAACCATAACATTGTTACACCGCATGAAGTTCTATCGTCGTCGTCGATCGGACATCTGCATCAAGCCTCGGGCAACAATACTGCATGCATATCCTCTTCCGAGCTGATAGTCTTCATTCTTAGATCTTGTGACATCCAATTGCAGTCAATATCAAGCACGAGGCTTCCAATTGGAGTGTAGCTTCAGTCCATATTGCCACAGACTCACTGTATGAACTCTCCGCCTTTCTTTGAGGGTTTATTATGCTGTCCATGGGGTCAAAGGAGTGACGGCACTGGCATGCATCGCATTCCTGAGCATGCACAGGACTAAGAGGAGATGGTAGTCGTGAACCTAGATGAGGTTGCCTAGTTGGAGCATGCTGGAATGTGGTTGCGGATGCTTGGTTGGCAATTGTGGGTTGGGTGAGGGTTGGGTGAGATGGCTAGATGTATAGGTGAAGGACACGCGAGTATGATAGATAGATACACGGCAAGATGAATAAACACACGCCAATATCATCAGATTAAACATGCTTGGACAAAGTATAAAACGAACGAACGCACCTGCTCATAGTACTCATGATTAGCATCTACGTTTGCATGTTCTGTCGCTACGTAGTCCTTCCAGCGCAGAGATCGAGCAATGTACGACTGTACTCACCCAGTTTCGTCATCGGGTATACTGTTTGTTCAGTCGTAGTGGAGAGCCGTTGGTAGATGAGAAGTGGTTGCTGTCATCACGATTGTCGAGCTCGTTCCGTGCATCTCGATTGCAGGAAAATCTGACAACTGAATATTGAGTGACGTGGTGGCACTGCAATAGGGCTAAGTCGCTGTTGAAAAAATTGAACGGCATGGATATGATAGCGTCATGGGTTACTGAAGTCATGCAGATGCTCCCGGCAGACGTTCGCAGCGAGCGCGTTGCAGGTCTGCATCCCAACCTAGACTTGAATGTGATGTGGTCGGGACTCGGCATTGTCACTAAAGTGTTGATAAAGAAAAGTTGACGTACTAGTAAAAATGCAAGAAAGAGATATGTCTGGCGGATGGAAGCAGAGTTAAGGTGATCAAGTGTCGTTTCGAATATGGACAGGATACGCGGGAATGATGACGCCAAGATCATTACATGATGGAGCCTGCATCAGCGAGAGATGGAAGGCTGAGAGGATCATTGGCGGATTTTTGTAAGCGGTGTGTCTTTTCTGAAGATCGTGTTATTATTGGGCGAAAGCAAGATGAGCTAGCTAGATAGTTATAAGTAATGGTAATGATTAGTGAAGATGCTAAAGCGGATTGGCATCACATGGAGAAGATAGTCAGGCAAACTCACTGAAACAGCACACCACAACTACGTCACTCCACTAGTATCCATCGTGTGTTTGTACCCATTAAAAATGATAGCGTAGGAATGTATGAGACCTCGAAAAATGGGTACAGGTACTATGCTCGGAAGGCCATTATGAATTTAAACTTCAACCAAGTTCAGACCAAGGTCGGACTAGTTCTTCCGACTTGAAGCTTCCGAAGGCAAAACGGTTACATAAGATTTTCTCGCTGGCTTGACATGTGTAACTTATTTATTATCGATTAGTTGTCCATCAGCAGTTTCGAATGGATGCAAAGACGGAGGAGTACCTTGCTCCCAGTGCGGCTCAAGTGGGTGAGGCAATTTCATACATACTACATAATAATCCCAGACGGCGAGTGGCGTAAACTTAAACTAATATCTGGCAACGCCGTCGTCGGTTTATATTCGGCTTTCCCATCGCTTGAATATGGCCACAAATGCTACCTACTAGCTATCGAGCAAAGCAGATTCAAAATTATTATGCGTGTAGAATGGATGGGCATAAAACTAGCAAGTGACATATCACGATCTAGGTAGGACGTTTCCTCTTATGACTGGATGCAGTCAAATGTCAGTTTTGTGAGGGAAGCTATGTAGATTCTCCCACCATGGTCATGACCTCACGAGTCACTACCACGCCAATGCATGAAAACGCACATTAGCTGACAAAAAATGAACGCCCATGATCCATATCTGTAGAGAGAATGATTAATAGACAAGGAGATGCGAATAGAAAATACAGACGTTGTACAGACGGTAGTTGGCCTGGTCACAAATCTCGTCGCGAAAGAGATAGTAGCGAATGCCGACCCAAGAACTCATAGAAACAAAAAGAAGACTGGAGAGAGGCCCCAAACTCCAAACTGAGGCAAGCGCAAAAGAAGATAGCGGAAGTGCACAAAGCATATAGATACGAGATCCTTCGGGCGCTATGATCGGCAGAGTTCGTCGTCCTGACCTACGATCACCATTGACATCGGCAAAATCCTGCGCATGGACTGTCAGAAATATGACAAGCGCGCTGCAGGAAAGCGCTTTTATGCTCGTTCCGTCGAGCGAAGATTCCCTTGCTAGGATATAGATCTCGTTAACGAAATATGATCCCTCAGATGAAAAATGGCCTACACAGAATCAACAAAGAACCAAGTTCAAGTGTCACATAACCTCCCACATTGCACAAATTCTTGAAAATGGGATGGTGACCGAGAAGAAAATCGTCGTGCATAACTACGAGCACGGTGTAAACACCGCTGGTTATAACGACATTTAAGCCGAAAAGGAATGAAAGGCCCGAGCAGAACACCGCGAGTGCCCAGCGCAATGCACGAGAATCCTTCACACTGATGCGCCCGGACGCCACAGGACGCCATGGTTTGTTCAAGAGATCTTCATGGACAGAATAGGATTGGTTAGACGCGTTGAATTGAAAGAGATGGAACCAGAGCCAGCAGAGAGCGCAAAATAGAGCTAGCACGTTGTGGCGAGGAGATACGACAGTTGCAAATATCATCTACCGCAAAAAATCAGCGTCGTGCAGTGATAGTTATTGCCGAGATAGATACCACGGGAAAAATTATTGTCTTGAAGTCAGATCTCGTGAAAAGCCAAGCAGTCTCGAGGTGATGCAGAGCACGGTGCAAAGTTGTTGTTGCGAAGTAAGACATGAGTGAGTTGCAGGTCTTTTACTGTCCAGTATTATTATATAGTTCGAAAGGACAGCTAGACTGAATTCCCGGTTCCGGTCATTTCGTTTTGTATGAATGGCGACAGGCAGGCATGGACAAACCGGTGCTTATCCTCAGTGTCGTATTGCATGCTGTGTTTGCGGTCATACTAGCCTCATTTGGAGTATTCATCTGGAAGGATATCACTCAGGTTATGATCGAGTTACGTATAGAAACTACTAGAGCAATCACAGTCAGCGATATGCGAGTGACAACGATAGCATACCTCAGCATGGTAGAAGAACAAAGTGGCGTACGGTTGACCGCGAATGAAATTCGGGTCCAGCTGTGCACGAGTGTCAGCCTCGATAGCCACTCTAATATTGTTTGTGGCGAAAGGCGTGCTCAATTCTTAAGTTGTCAGGTCAAGAGTTGTCAAGTCCCACCGTGCCTTAGAGCCAAACAATTTAGCCGACCGGGTTAGGCTCCATTTGGGCACCGCAGCCACCGCGTTCATATTGTAGTACCAGCTTGCTCATTATGCAGCAAAAACGGGAGTTTCGTGAGCTCTTAACTGTCCTTTCTCATCTTCTATGTTGGGTACGTCACAACGCACTCGCCTCGAACTTGAGCACTTCGTTTTCGCCGATAATGACAATCATGACCACAGTCATTGCACTGCTGCATTTCTCAGCGCTGACTCGGACTTCAACTACTCGCGAGGTTGAGTATGCTATCTGGCCCTGGCTCGCGCGGCCCATATAATCAACGGAGAAAATGTTTGGAAGTACCGGGTTCTAACCCTTTCTGGGAACCGAAATTAATGGTACAAACAAAGAGCTGACAACTCTTGACCGTGACAACTTAAGAATTGAGCACGCCTGAAGGTACGGCAGAAGATAGGCTTACGAAAGACACAGCGCGGAGCGAGATGGTATTTGGATGGACTCGGACGCTAGTTCGATTGCAACTGGAACATATAAATGAACATTTCGATGTGCGCCAAATTTTGTTATACAAACCGACAAGCGCTTGCACTACTAAAGGTTAATCAAGAGAGTTTCTTCCATGGCATTGTAGATCACCGCCAGATAGCTAAAATGGAGGATGACACACTCAGTGTGTCCTGGTGTCCGTCTGAAGAAGGTACACACGCGGATAGAATCTAGCAGGTAAGAGTAGTCTCAGTCTCTGGGAACAGAACTGAGTATTGACAAAACGTGTACCTAGCAGGTAAGAGTACTACGTCGCGTCAGCGTCTGTATACGAATAGCTAAGGTATGGGTACTCACGTCTCAGTCTCTGGGAACAGAACTGAGACGCTCATCTGCGTGCGCGCTAGACTTTATACTGTAAGTGATTCCTTATCGGACATATTAGAATGAAACATTGATACTGTGCAGCCGTCGGCCCTGACGTCACATCCTCCTCGTGCCTGCCTTTTCTCCCCTTGCGCTCGCATCATCTACTCGTCACGGCGTGCCTTGCCCTCGGTTTCATCGGCGTCGTTCTCGGAGCATTCGGTCGACGACACTCCCCCTCGAGCGCAAGCTAGTCCCATGTGGGCTCTAAGCTTTTGCAAACGGGGTCGTGGCACTGCCTTCGTGAAGGCGTCGGCTACGTTATCGTCTGTGGGGCAGTAGTGGAGCTTGAACGTCCCGTCCTTGACGTGTGAACGGACGAAGTGGTACCGGAGGTCGATATGCTTGGTGCGTGACTGAAACTTTCCGTTTGACGCGAGTGCTATAGCGGTAGTGATGTGCAGGGCCAGGGCTCAGGCCCGCAGGCCCACATGGCCCAGCCCTATAGAAGCCCAGCCCAGCCCAGCCCTATGAGTGGGCTGACGAGGGCCATGGGCTGGGCCCACAACATCTGCAGGCCCATACCCAGGGCTCAGGCCCGGGCCTGTAACTTACTTTCTCGGTTCGTGCCGACAGTATTGCGACAGCATCTATACAGTTAATATACGTATTTCAAATGCAGAAACCTTCCATTGACTCGGACCATACAAACCCATTGCAGTCAGAAATATGCCGGCAACAAATCAAACTGACCAAGAGCCACCATTGCGTTCTAAACGCGCACCTGCTCCCTCGAAGAAATTAACCGATGCGTCTAACACCGCTACTCCCGAAATCAGTGCACACTCTGAAGCTGTTGCCCTCAAACGAGCCGAGGATGCCAAGCGTGCATCTGAGCAATACCAGCAATGTCTACCACTACCTCCCGCAGCGGCAGAAACTTCTCACGTTCTACCACCTGGCATCAAAAGATCTCGAGATGTATCTGAGGCCGATTTGAGCTACCACTCTTCCAGTGGTGAAGACGACAATGACAGCTCGATGGCTCCGAAAAGGCCAAAGAGTATGTTGGTTTACAAATACTTATCCATGTATGTCACTCAACCTCACTTTGTGCAGAGAAGAAGTCTCGAAATGCAGCTAGTACTACCATCTTGTCTGAATCAGACTCGGAACACACTGGCTCTGGCGGTCCTTCATTGTCTACCACTACAAAGGCACCAAAGAAGAAAAACAAAGGTGCGATTTCAAACCTCATTACTGTAACTCACTCATGCAACCAAAAAATATGCAGATGCAGTTGATGACAGTGGCTTCCTTGCTGATATCGACGTCGCGAGCCTTTCAAATGGCAATGACAAGCCGAGGCACGAGAATAGAGGTCAAGATGTTGATAAATTTTTCAGTGCCAAGTACTCTGAAAATGGTATTGATGGAAAGCCTCGCACTTACCGTGACTGTAAGCTATGCTCGTAAGTCTGAATCAACTTTGATGGTAGCATCGTGTCACTACTGATACACCACCACCCATACTAGCCAAAAAGGTCCGCGTAAACGATTTGTGAAGGACTTATCAACCTGTCGCCGTCACCTCGAAAAGGATCACGAGGTGCGTAGTATATTTGAGTGTGTAAAATTGCTCAATGTACATTCTAGCTTACATATAACAAATGGGCGGGCGAAAATTCGTTTGATTCAATGCTTCCGAAAGCCGTTGCTAAGCGCAGAAATGACACGCTAAAGGCCAGTGCAAGTCAAACTGGTCTCGACAACCATCTACATGAGCGTCCGAAAGCTGAACGTATCTTGCCATACTCCGATAAGCTGTTCCGAGAGGCAGCAACTGAGTGGCTCATTGCCACAGATCAGGTCCGTCATTTAACTTATGCATACTTCGAACATGTTGTCTGAGCCACAGCAATTAGCCAATACAAGCACTCGACCATCCTAACTTCCATAAATTGGTTGACGTGGCCTCGAGGGCCACAAATGGCGTCAAAATTCCAGATCAGTAAAGTAACGCGGGCCGAGATCATTGCTATGTTTCAAAAACAGATGAAACACCTTCGTGAACGGCTGAATGTAGGCTTCATGCTTTTATTTAATATATATATACATTGTGATCACTATTTCCAGAGTAACGCTGTGAAAGGCGAGGTTAGCAATACGTGCGACGCGTGGCAAGCCTCCAATATTGATGGGTACTTTGCCGTCTCTGGCCACTGGATCGAAGAGCTATCACCCGGCGTATGGGAGCTTGAAAGTGCACTATTCGGCTTTACAGTCCTCAATAACTCCCATAACGGACAATGCCTCGGTCAGGTCCTTTTCAAGATTGTTGATCGACTCGACATCTCACACAAGGTAGGGTTTAATTCTGTTGAGAGTCCTCATGTTCTCATATCATGTTTAGATTGGACACATTACCTGCGATAACGCAACAAATAACGACTCAATGATGGATGAATTCTCGGAACAGATTATGAAGAAGACGGGGAAGGAATTTGATGCGAAGGGACGCCGCATCCGGTATGTAGTTCATCAATTAATCTAGGGTGTATTAGTTTGATGCTTTGCCCAGGTGTCTTGCCCACGTTATCAATCTCGCAACACAGGCACTCATCAAGACTCATACGAAATCAAAATACTATAACCCTGCAAGCCCCGAAGAGCATGTGCCGAGTACTATGGGGCGTGATCGAGACGAAGTTGGGCTCATTCGAGCAATCTCTGTGAAGGTATATATAATTTGATTGATTCATGACTACTAACTAAACTGAATGAACAGGAACGATCATCAGCACAACGGAAACAACTTTTTAAGGACATCCAGATCCGAGAGGGTGTTGAACGCCCCCTTCAGCTGCTACTCGATATGCCTGTTCGATGGTCATCAACATTTACGATGCTAGAGCGTGCAGAAACACAACGACAGGTAAGTAATGTTAGCAGTGCCATATTTAATCCTATAACGTGTGGCATACAGTATATCAATACCTTTATCTATGAAATGGGCCTGAAGGAGCCTGAACTTGGACAAGCGGAAGAAGATTGGCGAGTTAGAGCTACAGAATGATGAATGGGATCGCGTCAAACTGTTTCTCGATCTCCTCGCTGTATGTATTCTCATTTCTCATCATCTGGCTTGCTTTTCCGGTGTGATATTCACATCTTATTTAAAGCACGCAGATCATGCGCAACAAGCCTTTTCATCTGACCGACACCCGAGTCTACACCTTGCCATTCCAGCACTAGAAGCACTACATAAAGCATGGAATTCGAGACTTGCAAGACCGAAGTACGGCCACTTCAAACGACCCCTTCAAGCTGCAATAGACAAGATCACGGTTTACTATGAGAAGACTGGTGGCTCCGATGCTTATATCATAGCGATGTGTGAGTTATAACTTATTGTTTTTAGTCCTACCCAGTAACGTCTGATTGAATTGATGAACAGTACTTGATCCGAATGAGAAGATGAACCACTTCAAGAAGTATTGGGACGAGGGTCTGCAACACGAGGCTCGCGAGAATGCAGAACATATTGTAAGTTTTTAAATTATCATTGTGACAATTATTTGACACCATATGATCAGTTTCAGAAGTATTATGTGCACATTCACGGTGATGCTGAGCACCATGCTCCCATAAGGAAAGGTCGTGGATCTGGCAGCAAAGTTACTCGGCTTCTGCGGGAACTTAGTGACAATGACACGGAAGATGACGACGATGACATTTCAGCTCCATCACAGGCATCAGCATCGTCAATTGACCCACGGAAACTTTGGCTACAAGACTTCAACTACTATGTGAATATGTTTGACCAGCTTGCCGAAAACCAAACCATTGTTCAGTGGTGGGGGGTATGTATTCTTTGACGAATTCACTCAACGAAGATACTGAATCTATTGAAAGTTAAATGCAACGAGGTATGGGCCAGTTTGGACGGCTATTGCTCGCGACTTCTTAGGAATCATGGCCTCATCGGTCTCGAGCGAGCGTGCATTTTCTTCAGCTGCGCTAACGATTACAAAGCGCCGCAACCATCTCAAAGGTGATGTTGTAGAGGCACTACAGGTAATGAAATGCCTTCTTCGTCATGACCTGGTCTTCCGCGAGTCAGGACCTTCGTCATTGACTGAAGATCCTGCAGATGAGGAGGATGAATTACTTGATGGGTGTACAGAGAACTCTGGTGAAGATAGTATGGTATGACTGGGAGTCTAGAATGATGTTACGAGTCCATGTTTCATTGTCACACAATGCTATCTGTACTGTAGGACATGTTCACTTATTTTACAATTTCAGGCCCGGGCTTCAGCCCAAGCCCAGCCCAGCCCAAGCCCAAGCCCGATGTCAGGGCTGGGCCAAAATGTTAGGAAGCCCATACCCGCTCAAGCCCAGGCCCAGCCCTGGGCCACAGGCCCAAGCCCAGCCTGCACAACACTAATGGAGGCTATGGTGACAGAATTCATTCCGTGGAGATGAGCATTCCCGGATCGCATGGCCTTCGGCTCCTTGTCAACCGAACTCGGAGACGTGAAAACATGCTTATAGGCCTGGTGCAATACCGTGTAGTAAATAGATTATGTGAAAAAAACGGACGCGCACTCACACATGTCAGCAAGCGGCTCCTAAAAAGACCGGACCACGGATCTTCAGGATCATAGACGTGCTGGGTGTACAAAAAGATGGGCCACTGATCCCCACAAACAAGCATCTCGCCACTTCGGAGGTTCTCTTTGGTCCTTTTTGATGTAGAGAAGTACAAAAAGCATTTCAGGGCTGCACAAATGTTGGAAGATCGCAACATACTGGGGGTCATTCCAATCCAACCCAGCGGGACAAAGAAGTGATCCCGTAAGTTCGTGATTAAAACCACAGTCAATCTTGGAATTTCTGTGTAAAGGGGGCTGTATCGCTTCTCCTTTCGGGGAAATCCAGTCAAGGATCGCAGATTTCAACATCTTTGTATCGTCGCCTCTAGCGCCTGCGGCTCCCTTGCCGACCTGTAGATTATAAGAACTCTCTCTCTTGCTACACTGAAAAAAGCGTACCAGCTCTCCTACGTGAAGGATATCTTCCTCAGATCCACCTTTCAAGCGCTCCAGAAGGCCAGGGTAGGAGTCCAAGAGCTGCTCAAAGACACAATGTTCTCATTGTTCTCTGCCAAGCACGTCAGTCATAAGGCGAATACCAAATGCACAAATACTCATTTACTCAGCAGGAAAGTCCTCCAATGGGGTATCCTCCATTTGCTCAAGTCTCAAGATGCCGTTGGTGAGTAGGGAAGGGTAGTTGCATAACGCAAATACCGTTTGACCAAAGTGGCGTCCGTGGAAGACAAGTGGATCAGATGAGGAGCTGAGCGGCGGAATGAGGCTATGTAACTTGTGGTCAACATGGGGACTGCTTACGCCTTTTTTCGAGGAGCCATTGATAAGGCCGATGAGCCACATTTGCTCGGGATGTTGGAGGTGGCGTCCTGGATGGTCATGAAAGGAAGGAAGGGTATCCCAGGTTTCGCAAATAGACCGGAAGTAGCTTTTATCTCTAAGACTTGCTGTACGTAATACCCAGGGAAGCTGGCAGCCAGCGGTGGCTCAAATGAATGACGGCAAAGAATGGCCATGGGTTAATGACAGCAGAAGCTGGCCACAGTAAATGGCAGCCAAACAGTGGCCAGGTGATCCTGGCCCAACTGTCAGCTGTGTACCACAACATGTCAACCTTGAGCTAGGATGGAGAGTTTGTAAGTTGATGGTTAGGAGAAAACGGGGCACGCCATCATGAAGTATATAGCTCCCTCTGCATTTGCTCGTTGCAGCTCGCCACCAGTAGAATACGCTCACCTAAACTCGATATGCCACAATCTGGACGTCAAACCTTGAAACTGCGAGGACACAGTATCAACTTGAACCTACGGCAAGCCAGATGGCATCCACCTTGTGTCGAAACATCCTGACAGCTTTACTTAGAATCGAGTTAGTGCATAGTGCTACTGAAAGCGGCGAGGAACTCGCCATAAACATGACCAGCCGTTCCCAAAGCTCGTCATGGAGTAGTGAGTCGAGTGTTGATGCCAACAAACCCACATCGCAGAACAGCAGGGCTCCTCAGCCTGTGAACGAGCACGAGAAAGACGAGGTAGACTCCATGGCCAAGCTGAAAGAGCGACTGCAGCTGGCGGAGAAGATCAACTCAAAGCTGGAACAGCTGTATCAAAAGTATAGACTTCGTTGGTTAGAGGAAAGCTATCGGGCAAGGGTATTGGAGGAATATGCACCGGAAGGAGTCAGTACTTACCCTCCACATCAGATCTCATGGAATGCTCCCTCTCCTGCTCAAAGTACGTCAAACACACGTTTCCTTGAAGCAAACTGACCATACCATTCAGGCGAATACTGTGACAATGCCGAGGTTCAGGACCAAGAGTAAATGCAGAGGGTGATCGTGCTATTGTTCAACGCAGTGAACTACAATCTGTAGCATCTCCCTAATTCATTAGTCAATGTCTTGAATCAGGTGATAAAAACGTACCTCATCATAAAGGTGGAACCCGCAAGATAGGCGAAGCCCGCGAGCATGAATGTTGCATCGGTATGGGCAATTGGTACCATCCATGAATATCACCGGATCAGTGACGCTCAAACAGAATGTTGAAGTCTTACGTATGATGTGAGGTAAGGAGCCTCAACTTGAATAGGCTGAGCTTGATCATATCCTGTACTCGATCTGCTCTCCAGCCTGAAATACTGGATGAGTTTCTCTCCGTTCAATTCCCAGATCATTCACAGCACCCCATGAGCAGCAGGATGTTGAGGACTAGGGATTCGATCAAATTTTGGATGCATTGTGGATATCATAAACCCGAAGTTCAGATTGAGTGGGTTTAGTCAATTATGACACAACACCGTCAAGGTGGTTGTGGCTGACAGCGCCGAGGCTGACCGTGTAGCCCGAGTCATGAAGGTATGCACGTGCTGCGATGTATGAATGAAAACTCCAACCGAATTGATCTGAGTGGCTGACACGCCCCCAGACTGTCCATCACGATTAGGTAGACTTTCTGGTCAATTCAGTCAAGCCAACGTTCAGAAGAATTGCTCACCGGTAGAGCACCGCAACTTCATGTCACTTCTGGTCCCAGTGTCTTTCAAAATTTCTGCCCTGACTATGCCACGGCGGTCTTCTAGTATGAGCTCATACAGATTGTTGGGGAAGGGGAAGGGGAGATAGTGGTGAACAAGACGAAGGTATGTGAAGGCACTTTATCAATATCTGAGTTACTTGAAGATAGTTAAATTAGCTTCAAGTTGAGATTCCTGCTAATAGAAGCGAAAGTTGACTCGGCCCATTGCATATTAAGTTTTGTGCCTCCAATGTTACACTGTTTACACACTACTGTTTCATATGGTTGATACAACGCAGAATACAAAGACAAAAATAATTCATGAAGGCTAGGGCGCCGGTGGGAGGGCCAAAAAAACAATTTCATGCGAAAAAAAAAGATAAAGTTATAATCCCAGTCCAGACTACTCAGTTGACATTGTGAAATGTCGAAGTCTTCACAATTTCCAGTCTTCGTAGTCTTCATAGCCCTCTGAACCATCAACTTCCTCGTCCTCATTGTAACAGTGCACTGCCTTACATAGAGGTCTTTGAATGGTTGTGTCGAGGGGTGTTTTTGAACCTGCTAGGGCATCAATTAATGGAAGGGAATATGATCGGCTTGTGCCTACTGCTGCCACAGAGATCGAACCCATGGGCATTTTCAATGGCCACATTATAGAGTTCAATTTCAGCTTTGGCGCGGTGCGTCTTGGACTGCAGGATTAGTAAATCCAGCCCAAGGTTGCGCAGATAGGTGTTATTGTGCCTGGTAGCGAGGGACATCGTCATCAGTTCTGCCTGCATGTTCAGTTCTTCTTGGAATGCATTGTAAAAGGCCTCTTGGACATAGGTGGTGACCCATGTGCTCGAGAGGGGTAATGAGGGGCTAATGCACTGTAGAGATGCAGTGAGAGTAGCTAAGCAGGTTGTCGCGTTACTGACATTTGAACTGATGGACGCTCGCCTTTCTTCCTGCGAGGCGAACCAAATTTCAGATTCTGCAACTGAGATGAGGTGGGTATTGTTCCTCGTCAACCAAGCCTCCCACATTCCTCGTGTTGTTATCGAGCAGGCTAAAGGTGCACAGGGTAAAGGTGCACAGTGTGTTGGTACAACCGTTTGCCATGAGTTTGGTGGGGAAGGCCTGATGACATGCCTAGGTTGAACTCCAAGACGCGCTACGCATAGCAGGAGGGTTTAGACCGTACATCCACATGCAATTTGAAAGAAGCTCACACATCCGATGTTGCTCCAATAGTTCGATAGCCTGACTGTACAAAGACACCTCCATCTGACACCGCTTCTTCCTCTCATCCATGAGCATTCACTCTACGGTTGCATGCCTTTCATCATCCCCACTGGTACAGGTGCTCTGATGCCTTCGCAGAATTTCCTCCTGCGTCGCCTCTATACTGCGCTCCCCGACTAATTCCCAAAGATCACCAGGATAGACATGATCTTTCAGCAAGAATGACAGGACATATAGTTCTGTCCAGAGCTGTATGTTATCTTTTTTTTTTTTAAAAAAAACACAAATGCACGAAATTACCCAACCGACCTTCTGACTTGCTATGAATCCTATGTAGGTATCTAAAAATTCATTGCCTAGTGCGTTTGAGAGCTCGAAAATGCTCGCGCAGGCACTTGAGTAATCGAATACCTCCGGTGAAAGGCAGGAAGTTGACATGATGAGTGTATAGTGCGAAGCATAAGGCGTGGTGATACTATTTATTCATAAACAGGGATTGAACGCCTGAGAATTGCGCAGACGCGGATGCTTTACCTCTGGCCATCAAAAACTCTGGCCATCAAACTCACTGGCCATCAAACGCACTGGCCGTATCAACAAGAGTCAAATAGCGTCATGATTATTTCATTATTCAGACTTATCAAACCCACTAGTGACGCTGAGTGCACCAGGTGCGCAGGACCTACATAGAAGATTGTATAGTCACATGTGCTGCGAATCAATACATGATCATCTATACACCTAGAGACGTATCCTGAGACAAAGACGGAAGACCTAAGTTCACTGTAAGCATGTAAACAGTCATACTAGAAGTGCAAGGGGATTGGTGGGCTAAGGAGACCAAGCCTGACCTGCCAAATGATAGACTCATTGGCAAGATGAGTGACGTACTTGCTGAAACAGGAGAGAGGATAAGTTGTGAAGTGGGGAAGGGTCGTTGTAAATCGATGGACTTCTTAGACGAGATCTAGAACCGACCTAAAAAGTTGAGTTATTAGTACATGCATTACGACTATGGCCAACTTTAATACAAAGAATGCGTCTCGAACACATGAATGTGTATCGATTCAGTGTATGCAAAAGACGAATGGTGACCTTATCCAAAAATGCGGGAAAGGGTCAAATGCAGGCTGCAAAGCAAAACTCACTTGCTTGCATTACTAACGCGGGTTCGGTTGAAACCCTTAAAATGGGGCGTGGGTCTGTGGGGCGGGGTGACATGCAGCCACTGAGGGGGTGCTGCTTTGAGGTTCACTTGCGCCCAATGTCAAGTGTAGATCAGATAGATTTCAGAGCTATCTTGAAGGCTCGGATAGGCAATGAGCAAACCTTGATGGAGAATTGGAATGTGCTTGAGGAAATTGCAAGTAGGCAGGAGAGGATGAGGTAGAAGAAGAATGCACTGAAGCATAACAGGAGTGCCAGGTCGAAATGGTATATTCCAAACAATTAAAAACGAGCGATGGGGGCCTTGAGGGACTGGATTGTATCACAACTATTAGAGCGTTCTGCTAGTCAAACAATCAGTTCATGGTAGGTCAGCTGGTCGCTGTTGAACACAATGAGCAACGCACCTGCTGGGCAGTCTGGGGGCATGCTAGCCGTTCAGCTCAATTTGGTCGGAGTTTTCATTCATACATCACACATACCTTCGTGAGGTATCAGCCACAACCACCTTGACCACGTTGTGTCATAAGGGCGGCGGGTAGCAGGCACGAAAGAGTCACATCAGGGGACGAAAAGGGTATGAGGAATGTTGAGAAGAACTGTTTGTGCAGTGTGCACACTGCACAACTATAGCTGACGTAACAAAACTCTGACCAATTTATTGAGCCGAGCGGCTGCGCCCACACTACCGTGAAACTTGTTCTCCAGACTGTGTTTATAATACAAATGTTCTGTTACATGTTACATGTCATAGCTGACTGGCTGGTAGTAGTACAGTGTACAGTAAATGATTAGTACAAGAACAGAAGGAACACTACAGCCTAAGCACTTGTGAAGTATGATTCGGGTACATCCCATACTGATCTGAGAGACTTTTCGTAGGTAAAACCACCATTATTCGGAACTTTGCCGAACACATTCATGCTAGCATCATTAGTATTTGACTGAGTGTCAATATCGACAACATCCAACATTCTCCTCCTTCTTGACCTATTCGAGACGAATCCCGGGCGTTGCGACTTGGGCTCGATGGGCAGGACGTTACACTCCCTGAATGTAGATTGTAATGAACACATGATGCCTAAATGGCAATGCAGCATACGAAAAAGAATACTCACGTTAGGAAGGGAAGGGCCATTACCGCACCTCTGAAGTTGGGATACAGGTGGGGCTGTGCATACATCTCATCCAAGGCCGACATAATGATGACGTGCATTGTGTCTGATGTGTGATAGTCGATGTTGCTCGGGTTTATTTCCTTCAAGACCATAATCATGGTGCTGTAGATCTGAATTATCAACGCAGCCTTTATCATTTCGGTAAGCAAGGACAGAGGGAAGGGGAGCTTATGAAGGTTAAGAGGTTGCACACCGGCTGTTGCGCCAAGCACTTGAACTTTGAAAGTATCTCTTCTGGAAAGAGATCTGCTACCCTCCCATTGCGGCCTTCATCTCCCAACCCGCTGATCGGACGGAGTAGGGATGCCCACAGGAGCTCTCTGAAAAGTTGCTCCACTATAAGTTCTGAAATGGCCCGTTGCACCTGAAGAACGAAAGGTAAGGTTAAATTGAGCTAGTGCAGTCTCCAGTCTCATACTTGATAGCGCGTGTCAGAGTTCAAAAGCGAAACAAAATAGTTGATTCTTTCTTCCATATTGTGCACTTGGCAAAAATTGGTGTACGTTGACATCGCACCTTTGATCACCTTCCTTAGGTCTGCCTTCACATTATCAAGGGTCTTAGCTAACTGCTTTTATTAGTTAGGAAGCGAACAAAGATAAGAGAAGGCATACATTCACACGGAATGCTTTCCATCCTACAGAGACGGTTTGTCCATCCTCGATGATAATCACTGGCAAAAATGTTAGCGACTCGTTGTGCCTAGGATGCCAGGCGCCCACCTTGCTGTGCGAGCATTTCCTCATAGCTGGTGTTTACCATATCAAGCGCGATGAGGAAGCTGTTGGTGATCAAACACCTTACGTCCGGCGGAGAAACACTGAGTGAGTCTCTATCCTGCCCTATCCACAAAGCTCCCATGAATAGCCACCTTGTCAGCAGCACGATACGCGGCCAAAGAGATTGCTTCATTTCACGGTTAAGGGTGGTTCTTTGTGACTGGGTTAAGGTAGTCCACTCGCTAGCGTTCTTGTCTCTCCATTGCAGATCGGGATGAAAGTCATTGGGGACTGGCTGCTCGTAAGATGCTTCTATCAGTTCATTTGACACTGGCCATGTTGACTCGCTGATGCTGCTGATAGAGGTGGTAGTAGACAACCCCCAGTGTTGGTAGCCAAAATCCAAGTCCGCGTTGGACATGGACTGGAGGTCAATGGTAGATAATGCATCAGAGGACAGGGGGGTATCTAAGGGGTATGCCTCGACAATATTTGAGGAGGAGGCCTGGGCCTCGTACGTAGATTGTGCTGTTGGGGTGACAGTTGGATATGTAGGGGGCGGATAACCGTACGGAAATGGTGCAGGGTGGAATTGAACTGATCTTGCCCGTAAGTTTTCGAGCTATTGATGTGACACTATAAATGCTGTATAAGAGTGCTAAGAATGACACTTACCGACCACGTTGGCAGTGGAACGCCCTGGGAATTGGGTCTACAATAACTGGAGCTGATCGCACTGATATAAGCACCACCAGCTGGCTAGGTTCTCTCTTCTAAAGGTGAACTGTCTAGCATAACAAAGCTCTCACTGTCATGTGGAATAAAGCATGAAGAACAAGCTGAGTGGTATCCGCCTCCTCGAGAATTAGCCACCCAATCTGGTAAAGTTGATGAAGCCAAGGTTGACCCTGCTTTAAAGCGGTGTCACACTGTGAACGAATACGATGAGATGGGATCATTGGTTTTGAGGAAGACTTACATAGATTGGACTGATCTGGTAGTGATCAGCTAGATATCCGATGAGGTCGTATGATCCCTTAGTCAACATGACGAATGCGTGCTGAAATTAGCAAGTTAAAAATAAACAACGGTCGATGGGCGTTGGCAAACCTCTTCATGCTAGAGGGAGGGCCATCAGCGGATGGTCTGTGGTACAGAATCTAACACTTACATTCAATTGCACGAGTTGCTGAAGAACTTCTGGTCTTTGTGGAACGTATAGCCACACTGGGATCATTGATGAAACTGTATCCGGTTGGGGGAAGTGGCGGCTGATGAGAGACTATAAGTATGGCCAACGAAGTTAGTAACTATCCGCAAATTGGCAACGCTGATCATCGGTTAGCGAAGGCTACAAGCAATTATTTTTTGAGTCATTGATGGCCAGTTGATGGCCAGGAAAAACTATAGCTAGCGAGGGATCGGCCAGCATTAAGCATGCAAGCTACGCCCTACCATATCGGTAAGAGCAATGGTCAGGTAAGAATAGCACTGAGCCGAAAATCAGCCAGAAAGTACATATTCTTTGATCAGAATAGGAGTCATTGCTGTAATGGAACATTAATTTTCGTAATCGAAGACATGCTCAACGAACATCTTATCAAGTGCGTCAATGAGCAACTCCCCGCTTGTGTTCTTTCCCAGCTCAAAGAAATCCGGCTCCTCGACACCAAAATGATCGCCCTCGTCCTCGTCATCACCAGGATGGCTGATGTCCATAGGGCTTTCCTCACCTTCCAAATGTCCATCTTCCATTGCGGCGGCTATCTGGGGGTGTGGTGTTGACCTATGACCCTCATTTAAGGACCCTGGCCTATGCGAGTATACGTGGCCTACACCAAGACCAAAATGGAATCGCATAAGCATGTCCCGATCAATGAAACTATTAAATCGTAAGTTCCGCAGAGAATTCAATGAAAATTGCTTGCCTGTTGACGTAGTATTCCTTCCAATCATGTTTGTCTCCACCAAGAGGGGAAATCCCAGCATCTGGGTTACGCCAGCCTCGAGAGAAAGCCGGGATAATGTGACATGCCCTTAGAACATCTCCTGGGTCCACAAATCCAAAGGCGTTAGGGTTCTCCAAAGGTAGGAAGCGAACACGACCTAATGCATACGTTTCCCATGCATGGCTTTGGACCGATTTGTACCACCGAACGAACAGAAATTCCACCCGGCGAGCTTTGTACACGTTCCCCGCGTAAACGACATTGACATGATGGATGCCCAGGACTTTCGCGTATCGGTAGTTGCCATCCTCGCCATTGCCATGCTGGAGTAGCATAACATTGCAATGAGGCGTCCTCGGGTTAATAACATCTTGAGCTCGTCGGACGTCGTACGTAGTATAATCTAATCGTACGAGGCTATGATGATAAATTCGTCCACGCTTGAAAAGAATTGAATTACGTTCATGGTCAGGATGAGGGGGTGTCTCCAAGGAAGGTTCAGAGATCCTAATGCGATCCATAATATGATCTTTTAAACACGGTAGGAAGTCCTAAGCAACAAGTCAGAATGGCGACTGAGTTACAAAAAATATAGATACCTACCTTCATAGCCGGATCTCCTGCATGACTACGGAGGTAATGGCCGAACTCTTCAAAAATTTTCTCACTTTTCCCAATATGATGGTGCAACTGGGGGTCGCTCGCAGTTTCGTCTGACTTCACATCAGGGGTCCGTTTTCGCTGCCGTTGCTTGATACAGCGTAAGCGTGTTTGACAGCGCTCAATCTGAGCTAGCTGGTGAACAAAGTCCCTGCGATCAGTTCGGCAGTATCCACATTTCGGCGTACGGTGCTCCAATTCTCCCTGGTAGCGTTTTATTTGGAAAGCAGAAGAGTAGCACGTTGAGGACTTACTGGTTCTGTGCTGTAAGAATCCGTGGTACCAAACCGACGGATGGAGGCTACATAATCCCCCAACGCATGAAATTTGTAGGTATGGAAGTTGAATGACTTCTTCTTCCTCGGTTGCCTCAGTTGAGGCACACCCTGCGGTTGCTCCAGGTTCGCCTTCTGTTTCCCTTTAGCATCAGCACCTGGCCTAGGCCTTCGAGCCGCAGCCCCCTGTCCAATGCTATCCACCGTGCATTTTTCCGCCCATTTGGCGGTTTCTTTTGCCTGCCGACGTGATCGTGATTCAACTTCACGATCAAGCTCCTGGGTGTGATACGCATTGCACACCTTCGTCTTAAATTGACGAAATTGTTCGCTGAGGTCGGTCATTTGCTGGTCGAGAACCTCTAGGGTGAGGTCGGAATGCATACGTAATTTCGCAAGTCCATGCCAGTGGGCCATGATGAAAAGGAGATCGAGAAGGATTTTGTTGTGAGCGTCGGGGAGGAGGCCTTCAAAGACTGGGATAGAGCACTTGTACAAAATTAGTTCACAAATACCTATCAAGAATCGTCCCAAAGACAAACCTGTAAAAGATCTTCGAAGTTTTGTGCAGCCATGTTGGACATTTCGGAGGTGTTGGAAGAGAACCGTCTAATAGTTGCTGGCCCAAATGGGGGGACTTGCCTGTACCTGTCAGAGATAGAAATGAGACACTGGGCTTTTGTCAGACACAAATTTGACACCTCTTATCAAGTTCATGGATGAGGTTTTTGTCCAATGCGCAAAGAATTCTTAGCAGATGGAGCAGGAGCATGCGCCATACCCCAAGCTCAAATTTGTGCAGAAGATCAACCACGAGCGCAGCAAACACATTGAATCCAAATGAACTAAGGCTGTCTGACAGCGCATTCTAGTCAACGATAAGCAAAGGCGACCAACAAGACCGATGATCATGCTCACTGAGTTCGGTACCCACGATTCAGGCTTAAGAAGCGACTCGATTGCCGTACTGTCAATGCCATAATTCCTCTCATAGATGAGACTACGTGCTGCGGCAACAGGCTGACTCCTTGAGGCATTGGACCGTGCCAGTGTTGAACGTTGTTGCTGATCGCGACTCATCCCCAGATTTTGGAGCCGAACGGTGTTACGACAAATGGTCGTGTGCGACTAGGATGATCTAAACAGCGACAACCACGACAGTGGTACCGAGTGCTGAGAGTCGTCGGCCTTTACAGACAAGCAAAGGTTGCGTACTTGAACGTAGCTCGTGGTGGTTAACGAGGGGTTACGCCGAGATGATAGCGGGTTTACAGACAGTGAGAGGCGTCACTGAAGGTACGAGTCGATGTCAAGCAAGTAGCTTTAGCAGGACAAGGAGTTCAAGGGTAAACCTAGTAAGATTAAAGTAAGGAACGTCTACTTTAATCTTCGACCTTATATAAGGCTACTCTTCGTATCTAAGCTCAGCCTAAAGCTGGGTTCTAATCTGCTTATCTACATGAGTCAGAGATAGCGTCCATGAGGCGGGCTTCTATCGTAGATAGGGTCCATGCGGTACCCTTCTATCAGTACATGAGGCAGCACGAGGCTTGCCTTCTACCATACATGAGGCAGCACGAGGCTTGCCTTCTATCTTGATAACATAAATAGGTCTTCTAGACCTATGTCGTCATGTGTCGTCACATGCGGTCCAGACCGCTTATCTAAGCCGGCAGTTGCCGCTTATCGTCTATCATCATCTGTCGTCATCTATCGTCATAGAGCTGGTGAGGCTCCGGTATCATCTATAGCCGTGCGGTGGCAGAGGGCTGTCTGCTGGCGGGGGACTCATGCCATGTTACTGTAACAAACGGTCGGTATCAGACACCGTGGGCAAGGGCAACCTCCCAGCTGCCGAATAGTTGCAACAAGAACCCTGACTTTGTGAGCTCGGATTTCTTATGAATAAGTTTCACTCACTTCTCAGGATAGTCCGCCGAGTATGTGAATATTCGCGGGTAGAACCTGCGTTTGATCCCATCACAGCACAGGAGCACGATCCCATGCTCATACGCCGCTAAAAACTCATCGTCAAGCAGGACCCTCCATTGAGCTTGAAATAGTTCGTGTTGGCAATGGGTCGTGCATTCCCGACGAACTCCCTTGCCTTCAGTATAGGTGCCTGTAAAGTCTTTAAACGAGTCCGGAAGCTGCCAAGATGCGAGCTTCAACATTAAGGAGGGAATCAATTCAGAAGGGGCATCATACCTTTTGAAAATAGGCCACATGGTTACTCAAGTTGCAGGTCGGTTTACAATGGCAGTATTTGGACTCATTTCAAAAGTACATGTATACCGGCCAGAGCTTCGCATTACCGAATGTTGTCAGGTGCGTGGCGTCTGACCAAAACATGAGTGCAACAACCACTCGTGGTAAGTCGCATCCTGCCTCTCCAGGGGACTCTTGAAGTTCTCGGTGCGCATCCATAAAGGCCGGCAAGGTGTACAGTTCACCTTGAATGTCGACTTCATGGGGAAGGTGAGGAGCGTTCCATCGCAGTTGGTAAGGTTCATAATGGAACAGTTCATCATCCTGAGCATTTGACAGTTTTTCCCTGATGATAGAGGTGAGGGAGTGATGATACAAGTTTGCTGCAACGTAAGGTCGAGTGCCTGGCTGAGCTGTCGTTTGAGAAAAGGGCACTTCAATGGTTACTGGCGTTTTCTGCCAACCCGCATCCTCATCCTCCCATTCGTCCCCCTCATCATCCTGAACGCTTGCACCTAACTTCAAGTTAATTCTGTCCCATGGCGTACTCCAAACGTCGTCAGGATGAAAATCTGGTTGTCCGACGATGCCAATGAGCTCCTTGAAGCTTTGATGAGACTTTTGGACACCACCATGCCAGTACCAATGGCCAAGCTCGAAAGAGGATTTGTTAGGGTAAGGGTGAAATGAAACATCGTGATACTCGGCGCGAGCATCTGGCTCTGCTGAAGTAGCAGCTTGGACAGAGCTGATATCTTGGAGTGTTACGGCTTCTTCTGGGTTGTGGGATGGGGGTGTGGATGAGAAGAATTGGTGTACCAGTCCGAAAACGTTCCTAGCCGTATGGAATGGGGGTAGTCGCAAAGAAGCATGAGCGCTGGTAGATGTGTCTGTATGATTTACCGGTGGGCTAAGCCCGGGTGCTGGATTGGTATGGCCAGGTATAATGCTTGGGGGAGGCTGAGGAAGTACATCCTCGTACTGCCTATAGCATAGTGGCATGGGGACGTCAACTCGTCGGCTCCTCCGCTGCGCCAGTGGTAAGTCCTGGTCTCCATCTATTTCTATAGGCACAGAGCCAAGACCGGTATCGGATGCTGAGGACAATGCATTTTCTTGCGGTAAGGAACCTGCATGCAGAACATCGTTTTGTGAGGGCATTCTTGACAGAGCCGGACACGCGTAGGAAGGATCTGCACCAGATCTCCCATTAATTGAGTCAGCAGATGGATGCACGCTTGAAGATGCTATGTTGGGGCCCGCATGTGGCCTACCATGGCTACGGTTCACTTGTGGCCGTTTTACAGAACCCAAAAGGTCCTTTGCCTTAGATAAGGCGGAGAACAATCGCTTCTTGCCCTTCATGCACGATCGTTGATGCCTAGTGTAGGCACTCTCTTGTTGAAACTCGCGCGTACAGGTACATCTGAAGGGGGTTGGAGTCGACGACGTATCTGCCCAATCTGAGGCCATAGGGAGGAAGGACTGAAGAGGTAAGAATATGGTAGAGCCTAATGCTAAAAGGATTGGACGAACTTACAATTGGGCGTACGAATTCGGCAGCATTAACGTAATAAACTTGGGCGCTAGCACTGGCCACCACAGTTACTGAACTGCCGTCACAGCGCCAGGCTCCAGGCCAATAACTCTGGCAGGTCACTGGCCGGTGCACTTGGCGATGGTAATATAGGCCGTCATACTGCTATAGGTCCCAGCCTTATAAAAGCAGCGTAGAAGACATGTCCTTGCTGCACCAAACCACTCAATGAAAGCCCCGTCTTCGCCTTCCTCTATCATCACTGCCCCGCCTGAAAATCATGAAACTGCTCGGAGGTTAGGTAGACTGATTGCGGAGGCTAAGACCTGCCATGTCGCCCTCCTACACTATGATGGGACCTCGAAATCCATGGTTGATTGGTTTTGGTGAGATACCACCAGATCCTACGCGAATGTTGACGTATAACACCGCTCCACAAAAACACAGGCCTGCCAACAGCGACAGAAAGAAAATTCCGCCATCCAACCTAGAGGACCACCGTGATGCATACAATTTTAGGTACCCGTGCTGCCTGTGTGCCGATGGTGGTGGAAGAGGGGCGTATGTAGAGTCTGCAGTGTACTCTTGGTGGAATAAGGATATCAAGAAGGCTGATTAGACCGTAAGATGCGCATCTGATATATGCGGATACCAATGTCAGTATCTTTCGCGCTCAAGAGAATCTCAGACTTAACGTCACACAGTGAAGATAGACAAGTACTTCATGCAACCAACTTTAGCCACCTGCCAGTATCCTCGAAGAGGTACGTACTTGAAATCTGTAGCATCAAAGTTTCACTGACTGGACGAAAAAGAGCGGGAAATACTGCCTGTTGGATTCCAGTGGACCCACAGAGAGCAAATAGAATTGCTTAACAGACTCAACTCCTCCATTGGCAATGGGATTACAGTGAGGGAATTTTGTATTCTGTTTAAATGCTGCAAAAAATGCATGCGAGTTGGGGTCAAGCTGGTGATGAAACACCATATCTGTGAGGATGGTATGAAAAGGTGAAATTGAGTCAGAGGTTACGACTCAGTACTAGTGCAGCCTGCATAATATTTACATGATACCACCGCTACAGTACAGTACAGTCAGAACAAAACTATGTCAGTCAGAGAGAGTACACACTTGGAGGTCAGGGTGGTCCAGGATGCAAAGTCCCCCCAACATTTGGAGTGGAACTTCGAGGGTGACAGATATATGAAGTCTACGATACTGTACGAGCAATCGCGGCACGAGTACCGGAGAATCTGTCACTGAATCAGGTTTCTGATATGTCTGACTGGTATGTGAAAAAACTCATCGCTGCTTACTATGGACTACTACCAGACGATGTTTTCCCTGATGCGGCAGTGCAAAAACAACAAAATACATTTCTAGTAGAAACACTTTTCTCTCTTTAATCAAAGACAGTTTGCACATAGATAACTTGAAATGAGTGCAATGGTGTTCTTCAAGTTTGAACGCCTCGTGATCGTGACATGGATCCCCCGGCGGGTACCGAAGGGGAATACCCATTGATTGGAAGAATCCAGAATTGTTCAAATGACTCAGTTAGTCACTTGAAGCTCAAGTTGGAGCAAAACCTTGGATATCATCTTCTTTTGGCTCATCTAAGATAAAACCCAAGGAACAAATTATCTTCTTGCTCATTAGTTGTGTCTTCAGCAGCATTGCATACTTTGTAAGCAGTCTTTTGCATTCTGTCCTAATCTGGTGCTTACTGAAATTCAGTTTGGGATGATGTTATAGTTCTACTGATGCGCAAGGTCTCAACCTTCCACATAACAACACAAGCGATGTAAGTTCCAGGTAGAGTCTTAAAGGCTCACCAAAATAACTGACCACCAAGGTTCCTCATCTCAAGGAGCTTTAGCATTCCCCCATGTTCTTTGGAATGGGGTGGCAACTCTATAGTTTTCCAGAAGGAAACTTCACAGCTGAGTACTTTGTCCTCCTGTGGAGTTGTATCCAGTGTGTTTACTCTCACGTACAAGGGAACGGCGGGAGCATCGTGTTTTCTAAGAGTCACTCAAGTTTGTGGCAGACCTAGAGGAGCTCTTCATGTAAGGTGGAGATAATGAGGTTGATGCCATTGCAGAGCTGGCAAGTACCATCACGCTCTCCTACCTCTTCAAAGTTAACTATTTACATCAGCTCATCATCATTTTACTCAGAGAGGTCCATGAAGCAGCCCACCACCTCACCGAGTGCCTGGTAGCCCAAATGGTGTTTATTGAGAAGGAGGGCACACCTGTGACTGCCTTACGCAAGATCAAAGTTATCAAGGCAATGAACCAGTCATGCATGATTGAGATCTTAGGATGTGTATACATCCTACTTGTTCTTCCCAGTGCAACTTATTTTTTCCTCACTCTTGATTTTATCTTACGATCGTTCACAGAATCACATCCTACACATGAAAGCTGCCAATCTTCTCATCGATAACAACGGCTTGCTCCTGATAGCAGCTTTTAGAATTTTCAGTCTAGCGCACGGGTACGATCCGAACATTATCTATGCAGTCATGGATCTGCATGGGAGAGACAAGAAGTAAGGATTCTTTTATTTTATTTTTCTGATCTGCCTGATTTGTGCGTATTGCCTACAACGATGCTGACTTCTTGATCGTAGTGTTTGCAGCAGCAGCGGCTGCTTTCCTCTGAGTCACAAGCCTTGACAGCACACTCGTCAAGTTGACTTCGCAGGACTCACCCCCAAATGTTGTGCCTTATGTTGGCCTGTCGCCTGCTCCACTTCTAGATGGATAAATATTCATAATGTCAGAGTACATTGAGAACGGTGCGTCTGGTTTGAGAACTTCATTTCATGCTTCTCTTGATGCTGGGAACAGGGCTGCTAGAGCCATTAAGTTCGCGTTCCCTCATCGAGAGGATGAGCTCGCCGCCTACGGAGAATATATCAATGACAAGTTTGACCGCAGGCTCCAGCGAACCCATGAGAGGCTTATCAGATGCGACAAAGCTGTCCGGAATAGAGCCGCAAACTCACGATGAGTTGAACTTTCGGACTTCGCGGCCTTTACCGACCTCTATGAGTCCCACTTCCAGTCCGACGGTGTCCACCTTGATGAAGACAAGCAGTCCAAACTCGGTACACCTGCACGGGAGAAGTCTGCCTTCAATCAACGTGAGCCCTGCCGCAAATGGAACTCGGGAGAATGTTCCTGCAGTGCTCAATCATGTCGCTATGCACGTTCACACGAGCAAGATGGGAGACTGCGCACGCCGACATACAGAAACGAAGCATTACGAGGAGTCTGAGTCCAAACCCGCTTGAACTACCACTTAAACGTCCACATCATAGGCTTTGATTTGGTCACCAACAGACATATCTTTCAGTCCCCCTGCACGCTCAACAGAGTACGCAGACCCCGTCCCCATGCCGCCGTTGAATGAAGTTGAAGGAAGTAATACTGCTCGGACTATTGCTCAGAGACCAGATTTGTTTTGCATTGTGACGCCCGTTGACCGCTTTGAAATATTCTTTTCAGACCATCCAAACCAACCCTTCGTCGAATCTGTTTGTCGAGCTTTACATCTAGGTTTCTGGCTGTGGGCCGATACCTCAGATGATTCATATCCTTCTATTAACGACAGCTCTTCGCACACAAGCTCCAACACCGACGACCGACTACAATTCATCGAGGATCAAATGCATGAGGAGATACGATTGGGCCATGTCTCAGAGAGCTTTGGTACCAAACATTATCCGGGAATGTATAGCGTCCCGATGCACGCTGTGCCCAAGCCTAACTCGGGCAAACTTCGTCTTGTGGTTGATCACAGCGGGTAATTATTCACTGAACTCTATGATTGACCATGATGCGATTAAAGGTACCAAACTCGACGGTTTGCACTCACTGGGTGCTTCATTGCTTAGCTTTCGTGAGCAACATCCTAATGTCGATTTAGTTATGTTCAAATCCGATGTCTCGCAGGCTTTCCAGGGTCTACTCTAACGGTCATAGGGTTCGACGTCGACCCAAATGTCATGCTGGTCACACTGCCAGCCGATAAAAAGGATGTGCTACTCACAGAGTTGCGAAAAAAATTTATTCCGGCCCTCTACTATCACGGCTCGTTGGTCTTTGCATCATTAACAGGTATGTGAGGTGACCCGTTTGCTTTAGGCATGTGCCTGACTGGGATGCGACATACATAGGACCGACCCAGCTCTAGGATCTGCTGCTCGTGGCCTCAACGATAGCGAGGTAGACACCCGTAGCGAACTTGACTTTGCGGTCATCCGTGATATGGTACAAGGTATGTTACAAAATTGATGGCCTCTCCGTGCGATCCTAACTTCCAATCCCCAACAGCTTCTTCACTTTGGTGAGCTCCCGCCACGCGTTTTCCAGGTATCTCATTGTCTCCTGCAACTCTTCTTCCCTCCTCAATGCCATCAGCATTACCCAGCACTTATCCTCGATGGTTATCGGAAAAGGAGAAGGCAGCGCAGTAGTATGATTTTGGATTCGGTATTGGGCCGTTTCGACTGCGGTGTTCCACACTCCCTGCAACTGTTTAGTTTCATTAATGTAATGTACTTATAACATACTACTGCTGAACCGCTGACAATCAGCGGGCCTGGGACATCTGGTTGGAATGTGGGCACCTGATTATAGTAATAGTTAATTAACATATACAACTCGAGGACACAATAACTTACGAGTGAGTCGTTATTGTTGATCTGAGCATTGGTAGATTCCATGATGTAGTACTAGTAGCAAAGTAGATGGCAGAGTACTGATTGATAGATGCACGCGCTAGTGAGTAAGTGTCACACATCCATCCATAACAGGCAGTAGGACTCACTTGTAACCAGTCTGACATATGTCACGTGAGAATGGGAAATACTTAGTCAAGATTGGAGAAATTTGACAGGCGAAGCATGGAGTTTAAACTTTAGCAGGTGCCGACAGTACTATGTAGCCTACTACTTTGACCGGCACAGTCGGCACCTGCTAAAGTTTAAACTCCGTGCTTTGCCTGTCAAATTTCTCCAATCTTGACTAAGTATTTCCCATTCTCACGTGACATATGTCAGACTGGTTACGAGCCTAACTCCAGTTCATACACTGGGCTTCCTGTTTTCCTGAAGTCTGAACGTTCTCTTCGCCCGCCGTCATATAATCAAGAAATACATCTCTTAGTTTGTTCATCCTCATCACGTTTGACTTGTCATCACTGCAGCTTCGTTGTCTTCTGCTCTGTCGTTGTCTTCATCTTTACTCATTCTTTCCGTTTCACAGTCAACATCTGGGATGCAACCTTGTCGCCAACTCTCAAAGGACACGTATGGTCCGTGTGCTACTTGGCTTGGAACTGGTTCAGTAAGCATGCTTCCGCCTGACCGTGGTGTCATATTCTCATGTGGAATTGTTGCAGAATGACTTGCGTATCACATCTGGAAAATTGAGCACATACACACTCTGCTTTCAAGAGGAGAAGCTTGAGCTTGGCAAATTGTCAGAACGCATGCCTATTCCTGTGCAAGTGTCGATGAGCCTGCAGCAAAGATCAGCATCTTTTTACAAGTCTATATATCTATATCGCAACTTAAACTTGACGGTTGGTGACGATTCAGCTGTCTACCACATTGTGCTGATTGGATAATTAGGCTTTACTCTCGTGGCCGATATGGTCTTTGTTCAGTAATCTGCTGGCCGGTATGCGTTGTTTTAAGTCAGTTTACCTAACTCACATATGTTACAGTATTCTTCGTGCTATGTTTGAGATTTGCCTGAAGCGAGGGTGGGCAGTGCTAGCGCGTGCATGTCTTGACCTATGTAAGATGGTCAAGCGACGAATGTAGGTAGTTTTTAATAAGGTCGTTGATTATCAACTGATTGTTTGGTTTTCAGGTGGGGCTCCATGACACCGCTTGGTCAATTCAAGGGTGTTCCACAGAAGGTCATCCGAAAAGCAGAGGGCAAACAACTCGTAAGTTTGCATCAGGTCAAGTAAGGCACGTGCTAAGATAGTGTTCATTAGTGATGGTATCACTACTTTGTTGACCCTCCTGAAATTGGTGAGCTTATCGGCATCCCAAATGCCGGAAGGCTCGTGCATCGATTGGTGCACAGCTTCCCCAAGCTGCAGCTACAAGCGCAAGTCCAGCCTATCACCCGCCCTCTTCTTCGTATCGACTTGTCTATTGTTCCTGACTCCCGATGGGATGAGAAGACCCACGGAACAGCTGAAATGTTCCTCATCATGGTTGAAGATGTCAATGGAGAGATTGTTCTTTTTCACGACTCATTTGTCCTACGCCAGTGTGATGCAGAGGATGAACATAACGTCACCATCACGGCTCCGATGTTTGAGCCCGTCCGCCCGAACTACTACATAGCTGTTGTATCCGACCGATAGTTACATGCCGAGACCAGACTACCCATCTCCTTCAAACACTTGACTCTCCCAGAAAAGTTCCCACCTCCCACTCCTCTTCTCGAACTCCAGCCACTCCCGCTGTCTGCCCTACACAACAAGGAATTCAAGAGCATCTACTCATCCACCATTCAAACATTCAACAAGATCCAGACGCAGGTTTTCCAGGCTCTCTACACATCTGATGAGAATGTCTTTATTGGCGCGCCTACTGGAAGCGGCAAGACTATATGTACTGAATTTGCTCTGCTCCACCTTTGGAGCAAACACGAGCAGCCCAGGGCAGTCTGTATTGAGCCCTACCAGGAGATGGTCGACCAACATGTTGCAGAGTGTCGTCGGAAGTTCAGCGGCAAAGAGATAGTAAGCCTTACAGGAGACACCAGCACTGACCTTCGACTTCTTCAGAAGGGGGATGTTGTTGTTTGCATCCCATCGCAGGTTAGTTTCTTCAATTATGTCGTGAATCTCTCACTCAACCGATATTTCCAGTGGGATATCCTGTTTCGGAGATGGCGACAGTGCAAGAATGTGCAGAACATTGGCCTATTGATTGCTGATGAAATCCAACTTGTAGGTGGAGAAGTCGGTCCGACGTATGAAGTGGTGATATCTAGGACCCGCTACATCGCTGCGGAGACGAAGGTTAAGACTCGCATCGTCGCCTGTGGTGTCTCGCTCGCTTTCCTCTCCGGACTCTTCAGTACTGATTAAGTTTTAAAACAGATCATTAAACATTGCAAGGGTGCCGGCGTCAAGTCTGTTTACGATGTCGTGGAGATGGAAGATGGTAAATGCAATGAACTTTTGCGAATGGATGGTCATCAAATTTCTATTGTATAGTTCGTCGCATAAGCAGGTCGCAGGTTACTCTGCTCATACCCATACCTGTACATCATCATATAATCACACATTGATGAAAATTTGGTCTGATTCCCTGTCTACAAATTTTAAGCATGTTCTCCCTGATTTCCTGGTGCGCTGCCAGTGTACACTTAGTTATAACGACTGCGGCACTATGGGTAATGGATGATCATTCAGTGAAAAACTTCTAGCAGTTGACAAGGCATTACCTGGATGGCAACCTGGACACATCACAACTTCCAGTAATGACCATTTTACGGAGTGATGCTGAACTTTTCTCAATAATTTATCTACAAAGTATCATATTTGTGAGACATACATGTCTTCATCTATATTAGAGTTTTCTTACAATCACTCATCATCCGGTGCCATTGTGCTGGTGCTTATATAATACTATGTATTTGGATATAATATGTCGATATTTGATTTGATTTTGCCAGAAATATCAATTAAATCATCTCATGGCCGATTTCCTGATGTATAGACTCAAGCCTCTAGCACTCCACGATGTCAAACCATGAAGCACTTGTCAAAGCGCTCTTGATGAAATTGATTCTTGGCCAAGAGCTCGTGGATACGAAGTTCCACATATTCTCAAGCCGCTCAACACATCTACGTAAAGTCTTCCGACTCCAAGCCTTGTCCGGCAACGACGTTGTTCTGACAGCGCGCTCTGAGTTTTTTGCCAAACATAATCTTTCCTTCTCGTGAAGGTGATGAGCTTGCTCATCAGAGTCGACAGTATTGTCCAGAACGGGATCATCTGACGCTACATTTGTCGACTTCAGAGGTGGTTCAGAATTCGAAGATGGGATAACACTTGATGACTACGGATACGGATCTGACAGCGATCTTGAAGATGAAGAAGAGGTCAAAGCTAATCATACGCCTCCAAATGATGTAACTACCATCCTCAAAGGTAAGTGATTTGAGACTATCAGTAACGTAAATCTTCATACCTTTTGCAAGGAAATGTTAGTGAATCAGAGGATCGTGAAGACGGTGACTTACTGGTTGTGGCGGACACTATGTGCGAAAGTGATGCCTTGGCTGGCCCACCACAGGCAGAAACACTTATCGCCCCTACTCCAATTCAATATAAACCACAAGTTTTCAACTACCGGAACATACTCGTGCGAGACACAGCATTCAGGACATAAGTTACATGTCATCGCGATTGTGGTGGGGCTTTAATTTCGTATATATAGATTGAAAGTGCTCTTGCTGTATCTGTATACGGACGATATATCCTTCTCCCCACTCAAGTCGCAGGGACCACCAAAAACTGATGCGGAGACCTCAAACTCTAGCACTTCGTGGCCTTGCTCACCGAAGTCGATGTATCGTTTAGCCTCCAAGGTTCGAGTAAATTTGCCTGGTGCTCTCCATATATCCTAATACACAATTGTCAGGTTCGACTCGACAACCTTCGCGACAAAGCTTTCTATGCAATACGAAGTAGTTTGGATGTGGGAAATATTCTCTGAGAACTTTCTTCATCATTTACATCCAAGTCAGCCTTTTTTTGATCATGGCATAGCGCAGTGCTAACCAGCTTCGTGTGTCAGGTATCCCGCAATCCTGCAAATGAATGTAGAAGTTCTACTCCAGCATATCACGTCTGTTCCTATCATCCAGAATATCCCTTTGCTGCTCAGGAGGATCAACGACTCACAATTGCCCCATGGAGTGGTGTAGAGACTCATGCCTCTCATTGTGCAATATGGCAGTTTTCACTGGGGAGTACATGGCACGAACTTGTAGCATCACTCTGTGTGCTACCTGCAGCTATCTCTATATGAGGCGCAGCTTTCCCGCGCTTGAGCGCCCTATAGCGCCAGCCATCCGGAAGCATCCATCCACTGTCCACCAAGTTCCCTAGTGCGTATATTTCCATTTCTCACATTTGCTTATCGTTCCATCTTTATTTTTATCATGGACCCTTACTTACATATATCTTTACATACCTTACTCGGTAGCGCTTCGGCTCTGCATGACAGCGCTTAGGCGCCATACTTAAGCGCCAGCAGTACATACTATGACTTACTGACTTACTCTCCCACCAGAACGACAGAGGACTTACTGGTTACTACCCACTATTCACCTAGCAGAACATAGTAGAAATCTATTTGTTTACACCTCGCATCTCCCTTCTCTTGTCTTACATCATATCATCACTTAAGCAAACTCACTCTTACTCTCTCTTGTTTCCGCATACACGCGCGCGCATTCCCGCGCTTCGCGCATTCTCGCGCCTAGCGCGCACCTGCGCTTTCCCGCGCTTCGCATTGGCCAGCCAGTAGCGCTTTCAGCGCATACCTCTAGATCCTTGCTGCACTCGCTTCCTCTTTAGGGTCGAACGCACTTGTCGTCTCAAGTATAGCAGACTAGGCAACGCGCGACCTTACAACATTTATAGATACAGTCAGGAGCATTGTTCGTGCCTCGCTGTATCGTTGAACCTTCAGCGGACATTATCATTAATTTGTACCAGAAATTTCTGCTGCAGTACCATCCTCAGGCACTTGCACTTGCGAATGCACCGATTGGGAGCGCATCGCATCCTCAGAGGACTGAGAGTGCCTTGAATCCACCGATTAGGAGCACATCGCCTCCTCAGAGGACTGATAGTGCCTTGAATGCACTGACTGGGAGCACATCGCCTTTTCGGAAGACTCAGAGTGCCTTAAAAGCCAATAGAGCTCGTAGGATAAATTGTATCTATGAACATCGCTATTGATCTCACTGTCGCAATAGATCAATTTGTGGAGAATAATGACTGCACGTACATCCAGCCAGTTAAACACAAGAAGGATCGCCTTCCTGAAAGATGGTTACCATGGGTGGACTCATTGTCTGAATGAGCCTGCCTGATCGAGTTTCTATGCATCCTAGTGACCAGGCCGCAGCGACCACAAGTTAGAAAACATCAACACTTCAAAACAGACCCTACTCTTCATATCATACCTTCCCTTATCTCGCACGCCGCACAAGACAGTTCATAGAGCACCGCATGTTGAGTACTAGTCTCGTTTGTTTGTTGCAGTATAGAAATTCTATCTCTTGATTTATATATATATTAAAAATCCTAGTCCTCTGCTGCGGCCGAGCCCTATGGTAGACATTACCTACATATATTATTTACAAGCCAACCCGATACCTGCTGGTCGCATTTCTGTAGACTGCGTAGCTGATATCCACTGGACGTCGATGGTCCCGGTCTGTTTTTCAACGATGCTATGGTACTCCGAGTCAGGCCCTGCTTGTTACAGGCATCTGTAACACCTACAGGAGCCCCAGCTCTGCCTACGCCTGCCCCCGCTCTGCGAGACTCCCCGCGCGGCGGTGCGCCGCCTGCGCCTAGAAAGACAGTGGTCTGGACCGCTGTGACCCCGCCCCTGGCGCTATGACCCCGCCCTTGGCCTAGACGGCCTTGTACCTGATCCATGGAGGCTGTACGCCTCATGGTCACCCTAGATCAGCGCATGCATACCGCATGTCGCTTCATGGAGATCCGGAGCGCTCTCAGCGCTTCCTGTACCTATGCGCAGCTGCCCTTGGCGCAGCATGCTTGATCAGAGGTTAAGCCTCATGTATCTTATCTGAACCTCATGTCTTGCTATCATAGATCCTAGATATACTATTGATTACAGACTGAGCTAGAATACTTGTAGTACTTCCCTATAAGTAGACACAGATTATTGTACTTAGACTTTACTTTAATCTACTAGGTTCATCCCCAGAACTTGCTCATCTAAGCCTTACCAGCTTCCTTGTGTGAGACCGCACTTCTAAGTCGCCCCCATACGACTTAGCACGTATCCGCTAGCCCTGCATCCCGACGAGCGCCATCTTACCGAGATCGCCAGAGGAACCCTTGACGTTCCGTCAAGCAGAGAACCACCCTCAGCTTCAGTAGACTCACTTGAGTCGTCGCTGAGAAGACCTATCCTAGTTCGCACACGCCGACCAACGGTCAGCGTAACACTGCTAGCCAGCGCCGTTTTTGCAGTGTGCAGCGTTCATTGACAATCTGGTACAAAAAACTTCACAGTAATACATGGGATTATCAAATATTGTACTCACAGCCATTCTCTACACGTGTCCACCATGTCTGGAGAACCGTTTCTCTATCATTTTACTGATCAAGCCTCCAGGTTCTCGCAACTCATGCATCGATAAGGCTGCTGCTTTGGCGGTCGCACTTAGCTCGACAGTGTCTGCGACTACGCTTCATGCGAAAGACTTCAAGCTCAAGGATGAAAAGAGCGATCGCCTCACTAGCATCGGGTGCATGCTGACCACAAGCCATGACTGCACATTGGCATATGCAACTGGACGCAGAGCTTCAAACTTGGTGAACACTGCAACCACAGGAACCGAACATTGATCATTTAGTTCGAGCACAGTAATTTTCAATGAAGTTGCAAGTTCACCGTGCCCAGTGTCGCACTCAGAGCAGAACATCTCCTCCAACCACTGGAATATCCGATTCTATTCGTCCATTGGAATATGATACCTGATAACGATCAACACATGCAGAACATTAGAAGGGAGTTACTTACCAATTCGCTCCTCCAATTTCGTCGCGTGTGCGCGTTCTGAGATAAATTTTGTCATGCTCTCCAATTCCTCTTCAGAGCCCGCTTTGAAACCGCACGAGTCATGAAATCAGGATTGCTTTTGAATACCATCTCGCTTGTGATGTCGTTATTTCTACACTGAGCGTCCATCAGCGCATGTATGTCCATAAGGCAAATAATGTACACACCTTGATCAAGGATTTCACGACAGCAGTATCGATCTACCCACAATTGATCTGGAGTGGAAGGGAATCTTTGGGATAGGGTGATGTGAAGGTGCTGGAGGGTTGTGGAGGGCCGGAATGGTGCAGGTGGTGCATTAGTGGTGTCGGAGGGTGCGGCATGACAAGGTCTACATGTTTAAGTGGAGGGAATGATACAAATGTGATGGAACATAAAAATAGGGTCTGACAGACCTTTAATAGTACCGAGAACTGCTGCCTGAGGTGGGTCGGCGAGGAACGTGAGCAAATATTGTTGCAGAGGATATACGGAGTATTAAGAAGGTCAGGGGGGGCAGCGAGGGTCGAGGGAGGCACTGTAGGAGGATTCTGGAAGGTTTCGAAGGAAGGAATGTGTTGCTATAATCAGAACATTGGGGAGCCTACTTTCGATGGAGCTGCCACTCGAAGTAATTTAGCCCCCCACACTAACCAAGGGCATAAGAACGCCGCTCTCTGAGCCTAAGAAAGCCTGTGCCACAGAACATGGTGTGCAGGCGCTGTCCTGGCCACTGTAGGCAGCGCTGTAAAGGTGGGCAGTCTTGTGCCAAATCAGCCGTGGGAAAGCCAAGCCAGACATTACATGTGCTGCGGCACGCCGATCCGAGTCTATGTAACTAGAGATCCGTGGCCACAATTGTTAACAGCCCTGGCATGTTGGACCACGAGTATGGAAAGCCGGAGCACCATGCTCGTTTGATCAGCGTTTTTGGTCACGTGCAGTGCATGGACCCCAAACACTGTATTTTTGCATGTTGTGCAAATAATACTTTGATAATTCACAGACCAAATATTGACATTGTGATTCACTCTGAGACTTCCTCTGCGTTGCTACCCCTCCTTGCTTGTAATGGACCAATAGTGCAAAGCCTGACATTGTCGTCGTTTCTCATTAAGCTGCCCTGGGTATGAAAGCATAGGAAACGCGAGAATCCCAGGTTCTTACTGAGACGGTGTGCAAATCACCCAAAGACAATTTCAATGGACTGATGTTTGATTGATATTGGAGTTGAAACGCACCTGGAAGTTTCTGACCCATCTACTGTCCACTTCTAAGACTGATTATGTCGTCCCTTCTCCTTTTGCGCAGTACATGGAATATAGGAAAGACACAAACGGCCCTGCTAAGCCAACAGGTTCAACACCTGCTACTGGGTCTGCCCTAGTGTTGCCGCAGCTTTGGCTAGTGCCAGCTAAAGCCGGCTCTGATTCTCGGGCTTGACCGAAACTCACAAGTCACGCTGCTTACGTAATCAAAACTCGGTCCGGCTTATACAGCCATGGCAAGTAGCTGCAAGCTGGCTCAAGCCTGTGTAGATAATTTTAGCGTAATTTAAATTTAGAAATGAGATTAAA